GAAGTCCCGGAGTCACTGCCATAAACAGCACTGAAACTTGTTCAGCATCCGAGATTGTTGTCCTGCAGACTCCTGCTGACACTGAAGATGTCCGTAATGCAGCGGGGCTCCTCAATGTGAAGTCCCGGAGTCACTGCCCCACGCCTCCGCTTTTCGCTGTGCAAACCTGGGGTCATGGTGTCTCCGGCTTCGTTCTTGTAGCCACTTCTCCCATGCTTTGTGTCACAATTTTCGTAATTGTGCCGTCGTCGTCGTCATTCATGGAGAGTATAGCAGTCCACTGACGGCCCGAGATAAATGGGATGTCGGGGTCCAGGAGAAGCAATCAGGGTAGGCGGGAAGGCAAGGATGGGGAGATAGGGTGGGCTGGGGAGGAGCAGAGAGGGAGGGCGGGGTGGATTGGAGCAGGGGGTGGGAGAGGAGCAGGGGTGGCCTGCGGACTGTTGGGCACAAGCACAAAGTTTGTTGGGAGATAGGGTACCTCGAAGCAGCTGAATGGTCTCCTCCTCCAGGTGGATTCGGTGGCCCTCCATGGTTTCCAGTGGATGTCCAGACCGTCAGTCAGCTCCGCGAATCTTTTATTCGGGTCCTGCCACAGCTGGCAATAGGTGAGAACCATGGTTTCCCTGGCTGCCGGTTCCCTCTCCTGCCGGCATGCCCGTTTCAATTCTTTCCATGCCTCGAGCGTTCGGGCTGTGATTTTATCTTCCGTCGCTTGCTGCGCTTGTTGCAGACCAAACTGGTGATCTTTCCTTTCGAAGGCACACCTAGCTCGCCACATGAGCATCAACATGTGGAGGCGCATGTAGGTGAAGAGGTTGGCGGCATAGGGCGACCATCGAGCCAGCAGCTGCTGATTTTTGCCGAGCAAGAGAAGACCCGGATCCCAAGGGATGTAATAACCTGTGAGAAAGTGGAACGCCGCGTCCCACCATTGCCATATTTGGGTGACCATCGGACATGCCGGTAGGCAATGTTCCAATGTTGCCCTGGCCGGCGGTGTTGCTCTACCACAGTACGAGCAAATGGGGGACAAAAGTCCTTTCTGTTTCAGACTCGTCCTGGACACCAGCCAGTCGGGGGTGGGGAGGCAGCGGTGCAGTATCTGCCATTGCAAGGATCTGAGATTTGTTGGCATGATCGTTGAATAGCTTGCCCACGACAGGTTGTTTGTCAGTTGTGCATCTAGCGGCGAGTCCCGTTCCCATCTGCGGGTCACAGTTTGGTTGATGGGCAGTTCGGGGCACGAGGCTCGGTAGGCCCCTTTAACCGTGTATTCCCAGAAGGTCATGGGTTTGTGCCCGGGCCATTCCCATTCTTCCGGGTCGAACTGCAGCCTTGCCACGGGCGTGGATGGTTCATACACGTAATATCCTTTGTCGGCATCCCCCACCACCCTCACTTGCATAAGCGCTCCCCACCCGTGGTCGGCGTCGAGGTCTTCGGTCCTATAGATCTTGGAGAACCTGGCATTCTGAAGTTGGGGTTGGTAGGCCTCTAACGCATACCGGCCTTCCTCAGTACTACGAACTCTGTAAATAACTTGAGGTCGAGTCTGGTCTGCAAACCTGGCCACCCAGTCATTTTGTTGAACTGAGGGCCCCTTTTGGAGGGCGAGGCGTCAGGCCAGCGGAATGGCCTCTCTCAGCTGACAGGCATTGGCAGCCACTGACCTGGCGTATTTCAATCTCCGCTGCAGCTGATCAGTGGTTATCCAGTCCTCTGTGCTCGGATCCCACAGGTCCCCAACAGTAAAGATTCCTTTCTTTGCCCAGGTGCGCCACGGCAAGTTGGAGGTGAGAGAGAAGGGATTACCTGCATCGTCGAGAATGTAAGGGTTACCAAACAGCGGCTGCCTCCACACATCATGCCAGCGGTTCGGCGGGCGCTTCTGCTTCGGACCCCTTCTCCTCCAAAGTTTGAGCATGTTGGGCCACAGAGGGTCTAGGGGAATATCCTGCCTGGTGGCCTGTGTCGGGGTGCCAGCATGGGGTTGCTGGGGGGGGCCGGGTATTGACCAATGGGAGTTAGTGACCCATCTGAAGGGGTGCAACCGGGCAGACGCAGTGGTGTGCGGGGCCAGATCAGATATCTGCAGGCAGGCCAGGGGGGCCCATGGGATATCGTTGCCTATGAGAAGTCTGACCAGGACTTTGAAGATCAAGGCTTCGCTTTCTCTCTCCAGGTCTAGTATCCCTAGTCCCCCCGTGGCTCTTGGCTGGGTGAGGACATCCCAGCTCACCCTGCTCATGCAGTTATGAGAGTTTGTCTTGTTTTTCCACAGGTAGGTTGTAAGCGCTCTTCTGAGTCTATTGTATTGTTGGGGTTTTAGCGGCCATACTGCCAGTTTATACCAGATGGCTGCTAACACTGCATTATTAATTGCAAGTGCGCGGCCCACCAAGGATGTATGTAACCCGTCTCATCTGGCCAAGCGGTCAACCGCCGTGTTGACCATACGAACGCCTTTTCAAACTCAGGCCCTGACACAGTCGCCGAAGGCCTGTTTTTCGTGCCTTTAGGAACTCAAAACACGCCGCGTCCGCCGTTCTTTCTTTTTTTCTTTTTTTTTTTGGGTTAAATGGAAAACATCCACCAGTGGGTAAAGGGGTAAATATGGTGCCCACTCTATGGAATGATGCAAACTTTGGTTAAAAAGGCCCTCTGGTAAAGCATACTTTGATTGGCAACTGGATGCCTTTGTGGGAGCAGGGAGAGGAAACGGGTCTGTCCCAAGTTGGGGCCGATGAGGAGTGTTTATGATCAGGACGGTCCTTTTCGGTGGAGGCAGCGGAGGGGCAGGGGAAGAGAAGGAAGGGGGGGGGCACAATTTCTAGATTCTGCTCATCAATATCAACATCCGTTATCATGGATTACTTCAATTTTACTGACACTGGACCCAGGATTTCTGTGGCAGTAGAGGTTCATCTGATACCAGCCGCAGTTGAGATATTTAGGTGTCTAGGTTAGCCGATGCCAGAACGACGATGATCAACATCTGGGTTTCTGTCAACGGTGGAAGGCAATTCAGTGGCCAACCACGGACTGCTACCGGGACAATGATGATTATCTGATTCGGAGCTGGGGTAGATCGCCCCCTCTAGTAGTGGTCGTTGGTATTTTTGAAAAAAAAAATTAAAAAAAAAGTCCCCCTGCCCTGTTGCCTAGCATGATGGGCCCGTGAGGCCGGGTTTAGATCTGGGAGTGTGAACAGGACAGTTACGCATGGTTTCAGATAGTCAATAGCGTCATTTGGCATGACACTGTAGGGTTTGGTACATGTAAGGTTTGCTGTGGTTCATAAGTTTTTTTCACATCATCATCTCATGGTTCATATGTTTTCACATCATCTTGTCAACCAAAGCTGGGTAATGGCTTTGGAATCC